GTAACGGGGGCTCCGAGGTTAGTGAGGGAGGAGCGGAGTTGGAACGGAGGAATCGGAGGGACCGGAAGTCGATGGCCGGGGATGGATATGACATATTCGAGGAATGGATGGAGAGGAAGCCAAGCGAGTTTCCAGACGGTTTTCCAGAGCAGTGATGGGGGCCAGGTATAAGCCAGTAGCAAAAAAGGTGTTGCCTGTGGTGACATATGACCCAAAAGCCGAAGGGCTGGCATATGTCCCCATTGACATTGGAATGTTAAGAGAATTACTGAAAAACCCGCCCCAATTTGAGGAGCTGAAGTTGACCAGGAGACTCTCATATGAGAGGATGGCGAAGATTATTGCCAAAATCCCCACAGGATTTCTTTCCAAAGCGGAGGTTGATTTATTGGCATATATTCTTAAACAGTATGAAGATGCCATTGCATATACGGATTTGGAGCGAGGTACATTTATGAGGTACTATCCTGACTATGTGATGAGAACAATTCCACAAATGCTGTGGCAGATTCAGCCCTTAAGGCTGCCTGCAGCGAGAATGGAAGAGATTATGGGAATGTTAAAGGAGCAGATGGAGGCTGGCAAATATGAGCCATCCCAGTCTTCGTACTGGGCAAGGTTCTTCGCAGTAGAAAAAATTTGAGAATTGTACATGATTTACAACCCTTAAACGCAGTGACAATTAGGGATTCAACAGCACTGCCGAGAATAGATGAAATGTTGGATTCTTTCACGGGAGCGGCAATCTATGGGATCTTTGACTTGAAGAGTGGGTTTGACAGTTGTGTTTTGGCACCCATCTCTCGAGATATGACGACCTTTGGTGCGAATCGGATGGGATCTCTGAGGCAGACTACCTTACCCCAGGGATATACCAATTCCCCAGTGGAGTTCCGAAGGAGAACCCATATGATAGAACCGATGATCCCAGAGAAGGCTGCTGTGTTTATCAATGATTGCACGCTGAAGGGGCCAAAGACTAGGAGTAATGAGGAGACCGTAGCAGGAAATCCTCAGATTAGGAAGTTTGTGTGGGTGTATGCAGAGAATTTGCAGGAATTGTTAGCGAGAGTTTTGGAGAGTGGCACAACCATATTGGGAACAAAGATGGTACTTGCGACACCACATTTAGCCATGCTGGGAGCTATCGTATCGATTGAGGGAATGCATGTGTTGCATGAGATTACAGCCAAGCTGAGAAATTGGCCTTTGTGTAGAAACCCGACGGAGGTTAGAGGATTCTTGGGTATGGTTGGGGTAGTTAGGCGTTGGATCAAAGATTTTGCAAAAATTGCTAAGCCTCTTACTCTTCTCACGAAGAAAATAGCTCCTCATGAGTTCCAATGGACGGAGGAAGCTGAGGCTGCAATGAAAGAACTCAGAGATCTGGCATTGCAGGCAGTCCCAATACGAGCCTTGGATTTCTGCCTAGCTTCACGGGTTCAAAGGAATCAGAGAGAAGGAGACTTAGGACTTGTGACAATCCAAGTGGACTTGTCCATGATTGGAGTTGGATGGGTAATTCAACAAGAGCTTGAGGATGGAAAATATCCTATAGTCTTTGGGTCTCTTACATTCAATGATGTGGAGAGTAGATATTTGCAGCCTAAGCTTGAACTCTATGGTGTCCTGTGGGCCTTTAAGGCAGAAAGGCATCAGTTATATAATATTCACTTTAAGCTTCAGGTGGACGCGATATCCTTGATTCAGATGATTAATTCACTGGATTTGCCCAACGCGGCAATGACTAGGTGGATTACATATATTTTAATGTTCAGTTTTGAGATTGAACATAACCTGAAACAAAAGCATAAGGTGCCAGATGGGTTATCTAGGCGAAGGAGGATAGAGGAAGACTCAGACTACAGCGATGGAGAATTGGATGTGGAAGATGGAATCAAATTGGTGAAAGAAGCAGAGAAATCGTTTAGTGAAGAATTCAGAGATGTTAGCCCAGCAGATATTTGGCAACAGGAATTCGATGCAGATGAGGAAATTAAGATAAGGGGAACGCAATTGATGAGAAGAGATGGGGAGTGCATAGTGCTAGAAGTGTCTTGGACCAACCCAACAGAGATGGGAAGGCTAAATGCAATTGGAGATGCATTTGAAGGTGAAGGAGTTGAGTCCCCATTGGAGGAGCAATTTAAGAAGAATAATCATCCTCATCGCATTGAGGAGTATGATTCAGAAGGATATTGGAAGGCAATTATTGCCTACCTCCAAAGTGGAAAGTTGCCGAGAGATGGTGTACGGGCAGCACAATTATCGGCGAGTGTCATATCCATCTATGGCCATCATCCTCCACTACCTCCGATCCTTCCAGACTACCTCCACTCCTTCTTCACTAACCTCGGAGCCCCCGTATTCTGTAATCACCTCCAACTCCCTCGATGGTCACCACCCCCTCAATTCAATTTATTACCTATGCCTCCCTAAGTATGGAGCCCCGAAGGCCTCTGGACAGCTCCGACATCCACTAGCACACTCCCGCCCCTGCTGGACAATTCACTTGCTTTCCCTGCAGGTCTACGCCTCTCCCTCCTTTCTGTTTCTGGGTTATAGCCTGCCATTCCACTAACCCTGTAACCCGACTTGTCGGTAATATTCAGTCGGCTAATGTTTAACTCCGTTAGCTCCACTCTGCTCGGTCCTGCCATTCACGGGCCTGCCCTCGCTGTAACTATATATACTTAACTTGTAGATAGGTTACACCCCAGTGATAAAATCGACTAGAGTTGATCCCCCTTTTAGTTCTTGCTGCCAGTAAGTAAATTAGGGCACAGATGTGTAACTAGGCACAGCGCTCCTGGTCTGAGTCGCTGAGGCTGAAGCCCTCTGCCATGGAGACAACTCCTTTGTCTCGCTTCCGGTCTCTAACAGCGAGAGCTCGCCAATTCTTGATTTATGAAAGAGTCCTGTGGAAGAGGAATAGGGATAAGCCCCTTCTCCAAGTTGTGTTGAATCCAGAAATTAGGATGAAAATAATCAGAGATGCCCATGACGGAAGTGGACATAGGGGGAGGGATCCTACGTATCAGAAGATAAAAGACACATATTGGTGGCCGAATATGTATCATTTGGCAGCAAATTTTGTCGGACATGTCATGAATGTCAAATGAGGTCTTCGCAAAGAAATGCGGTGCCGATTCAACCACAGTATGTGAAAACCTTATTGAGGAGGTTTGATGCAGACACGGTCAATATGCCGAAAGGAAAGGGAGGATTTAAATACCTCATTGACATCATGGACAATCTGACGGGGTGGACTGAAGCCAAGGCTATGAAAAATATACGCTCAGAGACCATTGCGAACTTCTTGTTTGAAGTAATGTGTTGATTTGGGTGTATTTTTCAGCTTACAGTGGACAATGGAAGTGAGTTTCAGGGAGCAACGCAAGTGTTAATGGAGAACTATCAGGTTCCTATTGTCAGAACTACTGCATACAATCCCAGAGCGAATGGAAAAGTTGAACGGGGACATGGAGTGTGGATTGAAAGTATTTGGAAAGTATTACAGGGCCGCACTGATAGGTGGCCCAAATTTGTGGGATATGTGTTGTGGGCAGACAGAGTGATGACTAAGAGGAATACGGGCTATATGCCCTACTTCTTACTTTACAGTCAACACCTGCTCATGCCCTTTGATGTTATGGATCTGACCTTTCATGCTTTGGATTGGCTGAAAGTGTTCACCACAAAGGAATTGTTGGCAATGAGGGTTAGGCAGCTCTCGCAGCGAGAGGAATTCCTGGAAAAAGCGGCGATTAGTTTGTATGAATCCAGAAAGAAAGCCGCTGATGCTTTTAATCAAAAGCATTCAGCAAGGATGTTTAAAGGAGAATACAAGTGCGGAGAAATGGTCTTAGTGGCTAATGAGAGGTTAAAGATTCAGCATGACTCCAAGGGACACTTAAGGTGGTTTGGACCTTATGTGGTACTTGGGAGATTGAAGTTGGGCGCGTTTTTGCTTCAGGAATTGGATGGCACTATTATGAAACGTCCAGTGGCATGGAAAAGAATTAAATTGTACCATCATCATAAGAACAAAGATGCAATCGTCAGAGTGGTGCCGCTTAAGGCAGAGGAGGAAGAGTACGATAAGGAAGTAGATGTAGTGGATGGGTCGAAAGTTAAGAGGAAATTTGGGCTTCTGCGACCATGGGAACTGAAGGGAAAAGCGAGGGATGAGTATTGAGAAGGGAAGTTTAGGCGGATGAAGCTTAGACTTACCGATCCTGACCATCCTGAGCTCGCAGAGCCGGATCTAGATGAGAAGGAGTTGGAAAAGTTCATCAAAGAGGATGCAGAGTTTTGGGATTTCAGACATGAGACTTACCCAGGAGTGGATGGAGAACTCGTTAGGTTTAAGAATAAGCCTACAGGAGGACCAGAGATTTATGAGTGGAATCCTTATGGCAAGGGATATTTTGTACCGCGAAAATCTTTCCCAGTGGCGGCACAAGCTGATGGGAAGCTAAGAGGGAGCATGATTGGCTTAGGGAAGGCTATAGTTGAAATGATACAACCTAAAGGAGAGGTAGTGAAGAGCAAGGGTGGTGAGGACCTTATGATGGCAGGAGTACGAGACCAGGAGGAATTTGAAATGGCAGGAGCTCTGGGCAGAGTTTTAACCTCTGACCCTTTTACCTTAACCCTCAAGTGTAACATGGCAAACCATGGACAAGGAGTCCAGCGGTTCAAACACACGCCAGAACGCTAGAAAGATGGGACCAAAAGAGAAACCTAAGGAGTCCCAGGAGGGGAAAGATACTCAAGAATGGGTGAGGCCGAATACCAGTGGTGAAGCCATGGGCTTCAGGAAGGAGAAAACACCTCCTCATCCTAAGCTAGCCTCTCCACGGAAATATTCTCCCTTACCAGAAAACGTACCTAAAGGGCCGAGAGCGGAAGAAATTGCTAAGTTGGAGAAACAGTTGTGGGAATTAAAGGTTAACCCGAGGACAAGCAGCGCTAGAGAAGGGTCTAAGTGGAGTGAGATGCATGAAGGAGGAAGTCTTGACTCCAGTAGCGGGATTAAGGTTCAGAAGTTAGGAGAGCCCCTTCATGCTGAACTAGAGGATGTATTGGAAGAGAAACTTCGACAAGAGGTATGGGACATGGCCGAAGGTGCAGAGATTTATGAGGATGAAGATGCAGTGGAGCTCCTCCCTTCGAGACTTTATTACGAGCCCTCTGAAAGCACGGATTGGAGACAACATCAGGGCAGGTGGATTAGTAGGCCACATCCGGAGGAAGGGGGAGTCCAAGATGAGAGGACTTTTATTGATTGTCAGGGGACGGACCCCGGGTCCCCATGACCCCTCTCTCCATAGCCCACAGCCTAATCTGTAACAGCCTAGTCTCAAGGCACAACTACTGTGGGTAAGAAAGTGTATAAGATAAAAGGCAAGTAAGATACACTTGCCTACTGTGGGTAAGAAAGTGAGAAGAAGGTTAACTTCTCACTTTCCCACAGTGGCCCAATATGGCGAAAACTTCCGGGGATACCCGGAAGTCACATGAGAAGTGGGAACCGGGCCCAGAGCATGCAGCACGCGGAGCATGCGGGGCGGAGCATGCATGCGGGTCCAGGCGCGGGTCCGGATGCGGGTCCGGGTCCGGGCTAGTCAGGGTGTGTGCCCTGACATTGATGTGATACGAGAAGATTTTCAACGGGAAAAAGCAGATGCTGGGAAGAGAAAGGCTGATGAGCTCAGGACCATGGAGAAAAATGAGGTTAGGAGGGCTCTTGAGCGCCCCACCCATTTGCCTCTCATCGCTGCAGACTATAAAGTCGTGGATTTGATTACCCATGCCACTGAACAAGTCCAAGAGTTTAAAGAATTAAGGGAACAGACCGTAACCCTTCATGACCAACATCTCAAAATCATTTATGAAGACTTGGTCAACCAAGAGGCATTGATTCATCATGTCCATGATCGAATTTCTACACTCTTGGGGGCACTTAAAGGGATGGCCACTAAAATTCAAACCACCTATGATGAAGCAAGGGTCTGCAAAGAGAAAGCAGCAGATGCAGCGAGAGCGATGGAAGTGATGTTTAGGGCCACCCATGAGAACTTGATTTTGGATGATGATTATTACCTCGTCGTCTCTGAATGCGTTCACGCTATGAAGAACAGGTTCTTGGAGAGGTATGCTTCCATGGACCAAAGAATTAAAAATTTCATTGGGAATTCTCGAGCATTTTGGGACGCTTGGGGGGAGCTGGTGCCCTTACCAAGGTCACCCTATATGATGCATTACACAGACCGTACATTACAGATGGAGCAGAAGGAATGGGAAATGGGATCGGCAACTCTGGTTAAAGGGGAATTCAGAAGAAGTTGGGAAAAATGGTCGAGGAGCAGGAGAAAATAAGGGCAGAGCTTAAGGAGAGAGTAGTGGCTCAAGGCGCATTGGCACATGAGGAAGTCGAGGAATCCGAGTTAACGGATTTGGTATCGGAGGAAGCTTCTACTTCCAAGGTGCCTTGTTAGAACTGGGTGAGGGCGGACAATTCTGGAGGGGAACCGGAGACTTAGCAAGGAGGGACCTTGGCCTCAGCGACTCAAGCAGAGCGCTGTGCCATTGCTGTTTGTCCATTTGGTCCTTAATTTCAGAGGTGGCGAGCAGGAAGTCTCTAGGGGGCATTTCAGGTCGATTTTAGACTGAAGGTCCAAAACGAGTATGTACAAGCGCCTGTATATAATAGGGAGACAAGAGCACAAGGGAAACAAAGGGGGTCCGAATTGGAACAAAGGTGTCTGAACAGGAACTAAGGGATGACAGAAGTGGAGCGGTACCGAAGGTCATAGGTCACAACCTGTGGTACATCCGAAAGGAGATAGGGAGGGCGGAGCCCAGAGGGGCAGGAGGATGAGGTGAAGTGGGGATGATGACTAACTGGCTAGAATGGAGAGAAGCAGCAGTCCAAATAAGGATGAGGGGAAAACGTGAAAGATACATTACAAACGGCGAAAGTGCCGAGTATGATCCATGGAGCTCAGAGGTTATGGAGGTTACAGAGGCGGGGTTGAAAGTCCGAGGAATGTTGGCAATGGTGTTTACGTAGTATGAGGTCACCAATGCAATGGACTTAAGCCAAGGTGGAGTCAAAGTCCGAGGTTGGAACTATGATGGAATCTCGGCACAAAGGTACAAGCGGTGTCCAAGTACAGGGTAAGGGACAGCGGCAGAAGGTCATAACTTGGCAGAGGTTTGGCGGAAGAGGGTCAGAGGGAGGAGAGAGAAGAGAGGAGTGGGGAGAGGAGTGGAGGAGAGGAATGGTGTCAGGTCCGAAGGTGAGTATCGGAGCAGACGGAAGTAGGGTAGGAGAGTGACAGAAGGGTGGAGGTGTTGTGAGGAGTAAGAGGAGGAGGGTGGTGAGAGGAGTGATGTTCAGTCCGAGGTGAGTATCGGAGCGGATGGAGATAGGGTAGGACTCCGGAGGTGGTGAAGATGGGGGTCCGGGAGTCGGATCGGGATCAGGTATGTACAGATATGACACACCTGTGCCAAACAAGAAGAAACTTGTTATGACCGCAAAGTCATTAAACTAGTGAAGGGAGGAAATGGGGAACAGAGGTAGCCCCCACCACGGGCTCACCGCATGAGAGCAGCTAAAAACATACAATGCACAAAAACAATCTAAGGTAGGTAGCTCAGGGGGAACAAAAGCTCAGGCAACACCATGGCGAGGAGTCAAGAGGACACTTGAGCCAAGGGTTATCGACAAAGAGCGCCCAGTAACCTAAAAAAGGTGTTGAGCACAACGCTAGTTACTGGATCTATCGGGTAGTTCTGAGGGAACTAGGCAGTCCGCTGAAGGAGAGAACGAAGGAAGGTCAGTTGGGAGGTTCAAACGAGACCACCACCAAGCTGTTCCCTGGTTCTTTAGTTAGGATGGGGAAGTGTACTAGTGTTATTTATTGTAAATAAAGTACCAATCCGAGTGTTTTGGCTAATTCTATTTTTATGGGTTAGTTTTAAAGTTCCTGGGAATTGACTTACAGATAAACCGAGCCCTGCGGAGCTGTTTCTTTATTGAAATTTATTAATTTGTCTAGGTGTAATTCTGTGTAGCGTTGTTTGATTTGGATTTAAACTTGAATTTAATCTTCTACTTAGTGAAGTTTCAAAGATTTTATTCAGTTAATGAATTTGGATTGTGTCTGGAGTGTCCCTTGAGTTTGTTCTATTTTTGTCTTATTTTATTGCTTGTTTTAACAGTAGCAAAATAACTGTTTTGTGTTTACACTTTGAAATCTGGAGTGTTAACCAGCTCTCCTGTTGAAATATCTACTTAATATTTCTCTCCTTTATTGCTGCCTTTTACTACAGTGGCAATCTTAACTGTATATCACTTTTTCGCACTGGAGTGACAACCAGAAATGCTTGAGAAAAATAATACTCTATTTTCTTACTTCTCTAAGGGGGGCGAAAAGTCGCAGAAAGGGTCTCCCTTTTATACTCCTTGGGTCGCCTTCCTTTTTCACGCTCTACCTTCTATTTACAGGATTTATTTACAGTGTATTTTTCTCAAACTGAATAAAAATGAAATTTTCATGCTATAGTTCTACTGCGCTTTTGCTGCGCTGAACTGCGGTTCTACTGCGGTCAGACTGCACCTAGAATTCTTATTGTCCTCCCTCGCCTAAGCTATTTTAATGGTTAATTGGAACTTGGCTGCGCTGCATTTGCCGCAGTTACCTATTTCAAATTCCCTATATATACCGTTAAATTTGCTATGGCTCGATGATTCTGAATTCAAACTTCGCATTACTATGCGTACGGCTATGCTGAGACCTTCAGCTGATTTATTCCATTTTTATTTAGTGACATTTAGTTAAAATGAGACTGAAATGGTAAATGAGTGAATTATTCAGGTTTAAAACTGAATGAAAAAGTTGCTAGTAATCAAGAATTACTCAAACGAATGTGTTATAGCTCTCCTCCTCATTAGAATATCGTTCCCTAAAATTCCCGCCATGGTCCGTTGTAGTTTAGTGGTTTTCGTGAATTTCGTTCATATTCCCTGATTCCCTTTTGTATTATCACATCCTAATCCTCCATATGTATTGTTCGTTGTTATAGTAGGTCGTCCTTGAAGATTTCATATTTTTATGTATTTTATTTAGGACTCTGGACCTCTTGAAGCTGTTTTCCCGCGCGTTTTCAGGTTTCTAACTTCATGTCCCTATATCTCATTCATTTCTGGATGTTTTCTCACGTTCTTGGTATCATAAATTTTCATTTATTCCCACCTTTCCAATGGTACCAAGGTTGTGTCCTATTTCCTGGTATTCGTTGAGTTAGCAAAAGTTCGTGCGCACATTCGGTAATCACGTGCGTCATTCCCATAGTCGTTTGTATGCGGGCGCCGTTTCCATTTAATTGTTCGGGATTTATGATATGCGTGGGTGTTTATTTCTTTCATATGGGCTTCTGTGATTTATTTCAGATTTTTCCCTCATGATTTAAGGTTGTTTTGCACTTTCCGTGCTTTGTTTTGACCGGGCTCTTCCTTATTTGGACGGAAATTGGTCTTCGCGATCTGCTGAAGTGCGGATCTCGGTTCCGACGGCCGGTTCCCTGCGCATCGCCACCCTCACGTGTCATTACACATGATGCGGATTTCTATATTCCCGTCATGGGTATAACTTCACAACGGCTGGACTGTTTGGGCTGAAAATTTGCATAACTATAGTTCCCCATTTTTAATAATTTCCGTGTAAATTTCGTTGTATGTTGTAACTATGGATCCTACGCAAACATCGTCTTTTCCCTAAGCTCGGACTTTCGATGTCACTATTCCTGTTATTGGATATCTCATTAACGCATGATCCTTTTATTATGAAAATTTGGGAGGATTAAGATTGGATCCCTTCCTTTCTAATGGGCTATCAAGCTTGTCTCGGTCGTTACTGGTTAATCTTCGCGCTTCCCTTTTAGGCATTGTCCTCGTTTTGCAGGAGTTTTAGTCATATCTCCATCGTTTATAGGTAGTTTCCCCTGTAATTACTCTCATTGGTTTCGTTTGGAGGACATCTACATTTCCTATTGTAAACACGACTCTGACTTTTGCATTAGTTCCTGAGGAATCTTCGTTCCGTGGTACTTTCATCCTTGGCTACGTGTTCGGACGTGGGAAAGTAGTTTCCGTGGAGGTTCTCTGATTATTTTTTATAGTCAAATTTTGGTCGATTGTCCTAATTCTTGGTTTAATATTTGCTATAAATTCCCCCGAGAATTCCGTCTCATTGATAGTAAGCTTGAAGTATTTTTGCTATTTTTCTTTCTTTCGATTTATCGTGTATAGTCATAATAATTCGTAAAAATTCGTTAAAATTCAGGTCCTTCTATTTTCTCATATCTACTTGTCGTATGAGGTTTTTGTGATTTATCTGGCATATTTCCATAATGGGTTTCCATAGTGTGGCCGTTATTTCTCCTACACCGCTGAACTACCACACAGTCTACAAGCCGTAGGCCTGACGTCCCTGTAAACGACTCGCTGAGTCATGGAGGTAAAACCTCACTACATTCCCAAAAACCCCCTGACGAAGACGCCACCCAAACAGACAACCGCCCCCACTGAGATGCAGACCCTCACCCCACTCACCCCTGAGGATGAAACAATGCTGGAAGCCCACTTCTCAAACAAATAGACCGCCTGGAAGCTGGACAACCTCCCTGCATCTGAAACTGCCACGGACCTACCACCCCAATTCACCACCACTAAGGCAGCCAGCATGGACAACAACCTCTATGAGTCTCAGAGCTCATCAGACGGGCCCCCTAGCCCCCTACTGAACAAGGGAAAGCTGAGCCTAACGGCAAACGCAAAGGCCGCACTACAACTAGACATAAGGAAACATGCCAGATCCCCGACAGCTGCAAAACTACAGGGCCCCTCCAGAGTGGCCCCTAGGATTAAGCTCCGGAACAGACCCAGCATGAAGACACCTGTGGGCACCCTGCCCCAGCCAGACCCCACCCAGGACATGTTCTCAGCGGTGAGCACGAACACTACCCAAAATGTACCCACCCTCCTGCCGGACATATCCCCTGAGGAATACCCCCCTGCCCATCGACCAGCCTCAAGCATCGATAACAACAGCGATATCCCAGATGTCACCATGTTTGTCTCTGCCATAGCAATGAAACTGGATGACGGCAGAGAAAACTACAACTGGATGGCCCTAGGCCATGACCTTGAAGGCTTCACCACACACGGGCTCCACCCCTGTAAGGGATTAACCTTACTTCACTATAATTCCCATTATAGTGATGTGGTTATTTCTTTATTTATTTGTGCCGAGATATG